CCAGCCCAAAAGGCTCGTTAGGCCGTATAGGCCTACATTTCGAAACGGTAAGCTTGAGCCCCGTAAGGTCTAGAGGTTTAGAAGTCATGAGGTAGGTAGGGTTGAGGGGTTATAAGGGTTTTCGCCCTGAGGGTTGCAAGGCTTTGGGGATTGCAGGGCCTTTAGAAGTCGGAAAAGGCTTGACAAGCAAGTCCCCCCCCCCCCCCGCCGAATAGCCCTCAATAAGGGCTTGAACCTGATGAAGTTATGTCAGGTATTCAGGGTATCTTGAGGAGCAGTTGGGGTGTTTAGGATTTGGGGCTTGAGGCTTAGGGGAATTTAAGGCCCTTCTCCGGCAGTTGGCATCTCTAGCGCGCCTCACCATCACTGTCACCACGCCATCCTCGCCAGCACACGAAGCCCAAAACCCCAAAACCCGAGGCCCGAAAAGCGCTGAAGCCCTGAGGCCCTCAATCTGCTATATATGTTTTTATATATTCATATGTATATATATGTATATATATCTACATATATACATATAAACCTGATAAGTCAGCGCGGGCCCACCCCTTAGTCACCCGGCCAAAGGTTCGAGAGGTCTTCGCGGGCTGGTGTCTTAAGGGGAGCTTCAGAGCTTACGGCTTACGTTTCGGGGCAACATGGGCCCCCCTAAACTGAGAGTTTGGGGCTTAGGGGCTTGTGAGGGCTTACAAGGTTTTATAAGGTGTGAAAAAGGGCTTATAGAGGTTTACAAGGGATAAAGGCTTAGGAGGGTTTATAAGGGCTTTGTTTTTCTCAACGGTTTATGGGTTTACAAGGGTTTTTCTGGGCTTTTATTTCGGAGAGCTTAGGGTTCGCAAATTTCTCGCTTTACCTCAAGTCCAGCTGGCATGTCCAAGAGCGTCCCCCACTTTGCGGAGTTGCTTGACTGCAGGATTCCAAGACCCTCAGCTACCGAAAGATCCCCATTCAAGCAATCCTGCAAGCTCCCCAAACAACACGAAATTCCCAGCCAACACATACAAACACACGCCCTGACCCCTAAAAAGACTCCAAAGGGTTTAGGGTTTAGGATTTCGGGTTGAGGGTTTGCCAAAACCCCCAAAGCCTAAACCCCTAAACCCCACGGCCCCATGTGCCGGCCTCCCACTTGTACGGATCCTGGGCCTTCCTCGGGAGCGACGTGGGAGGGCAGCGGGGGCCCCGACATAGCAGGGTTCGGAGCTGTGAAGGCTTAGGGCTTTCAGGGTTGTCAGGGCCTTTAGGCGGGTTCTAGGGCTAGCAATGATTCTCCCACTCCCACCCCCCCCCCCCACCCGCACACAACACGAGTACGAGGTCTAACTAACCTTGAGCTTAAGGGCTCTCCGAGAAAAGGGGCTCTAGGGTGCAGGTGATGTAAGGGGGCGGGGGGGGTGGGCGGGGGGGCGCCCCCTCATGGCTGTCTCTAGTATGGGCTCTTGCCGGGGATGGCTGTACCTATGGCCACCGCTTGTAGCGCAAGTATACAGGGGCGGAGCATCCGCAGTTTCGGCTTGAGGGCTTAGGAGGTTGATGGTGAGATACAACGTCTCCCGCAATTTCCTGACAAACCTCAATCATCTTTCTGGCGAGGTGCTTCTTGCTGGCATCACCAATGGCAAGCTGGCAGCAGGCGTTCAGTTTGGAAGGGAGATTGTAGTGAGACTTGAGGCAGACTTCTGAGCAAGGCCCGACCCTGCGTGGCCACGCAGCCCGCGGCGGGCCCCACTGCCCAAACCAACAGTAACATGGCTGTAGGGCTCCACAGCAGGTAGGATCTTTCGTCGGTGTTTCCAGAAGGACTGCCAATATAATTCTAGGCATTCACCCATGTTGATGGGGAACCGCAGAAGCAAGCGCTAGAATCCTATGATCCCCCAGCAGACCTTCCAAGCTCCTAGACACCATCAAACTGGAAGAGCAGACTGACACTCTAAGCCTGAAACCCCCAACGCCCTTGAACTGGGGAGGATTAGGCAACTAAGGCTTGCAAAAATCTCTGACTTGAGAAAAAGCTTACACCTCACGTCCTGAACCCACGACCCCACACATTCGACCTGGTCGGCCATGCTCGCACCGCTTCCGCCGTCCTGCAGGCGGTCTTGTCCAACCCCCGGCCCCAGCTCTGCACCCCGAGCTTGACTCCCATCTTGCTCGAATTCAGCTCGACCCCGGTGCTCCACACCACACTCCTGAATCCTGCTCCCACGCTGCTGAAGTCATTCTCCCGGTCTACTATTCCCCCACAAAGAACCAAGAGCCCCTACCACATGGCAAGCCATTCTGCACCTACGGGGTCCCTTGTTCGTGAAGTCCTCACTCGTGACCCGACGCCCAACACACCCAGGTCTCGGCTTCTGTGCTTTGTTCTGACAACAGAGGGCCGGGATCCTACCCATGGTCGTAGGCCCTCTTAGGAGGGTTCAGGTTGAAGGGGCCCTGCCTCCTCCTTCTTGGGCAGCTTCTTGTTGAACTTCTTCGCGGTTGTGCAAGGCCTGGTGGGGATTCTTACGTGGTGCAGGGATTAGAGATAAGGCCTCGTTGTCGCCTGATGGTCTAAACCTCCAGAACCCTGCAAGCCCTGTAAACCCTGAACATGACTTCAGGCTTGGGCCTGATTCGCCCTAGGTGCCATGCGCACCTAAACCTTAAACCTCAAATCCAGCATCTCACGACCTCAAGATACTCTGCCTAGGGCTCGTGGGGCGTATGGGGCTTGTGGTGCGCTTATAGGGTTCAGGGCTCCGGCTCCAACGCCCCAAACCAGACTCCAACGCCCTAAAAAAAGCCTAAAGCCCTGCATGCCGGGGACAGAAGGAGAGGTAGCCCTTTGAAGGAACTTCTGAGGAACAGGCTCAGGGGTAGATCCTGTGTCTGCCATGGCCATGGTCGCGGGACGCTGCAAGCCTCGGGTTTGACGGTTAGGCTTAGGGCCTTTTTGGAGGAACTGAGAGGCGTGAGCCCTGAAGGACGTAGACAGTGTAGGGCGGTTTCGGGCAAAGGCCCCTGTTTTACGTAGACTGAGAGGACCTCTGAGGGGCAAGAGGGTTCAAGAGTGTCGCGTTCCCACAGGCCTAAGCGTGCGTGAGATGAAAGCCAACCAGTGACGGAACCCTTAGTGCAGGCCCTCAACCCAAACCCTACTACTGTATACTATAGTGTAAGCCCAAAAACTTGCATGACTCTAAAGCCCGAAAACCCGATCCATGGTGACCTGTGAGAACTCACGTGTTCAACCACAAACAAAGACTGATCCCCTGACCCACGCACATCCCTCAGGGAGAGGGGGGGGGGTTGGCTTCGAGCATCCTAAACGATATGGGCCTTTTAGGAAGTGAAACCTACACCCTAAACCCAAAACCCCGCTGAAGTTGAATTTTGGGGTAGAGGCCGATGCCTTAAACAAGTTCGAGCCCTGAACTCTCCTGCGAGTCCCCGAAACCGAGTCCCCGGGCCCATGTTCGAGGAATGTGGAGCGTGATTCTCTGTGGGCCTCCGGCGATTGCAATTTATGGGGGTTACGCTTAGGGTTCAGGAGCTCTTGGGGGTTTAGGGCTGCGGGATGTTGGGGAAACAAGGTTTCAGAAAGCTCTGGCTTAAGAGCTCTGATTTTAGGGCGTAGTTCAGGGTTTCAAGCCTGAATGCGCCCGCATTTGAAGCGACGTTTCTGCCCCAGCGAGCTTCGAGGTTGCCGCAAACCGCCCGGAAAAACCCTGAGCCTAAACCCATACAACCCGAGAAAGTCTTCGTCTTCACTTATACAAGAAGACTAGAATCGGACCGTGGCATGCGGCCGCTATCCTTTGGGCTGAACTAAACCCCCAGTGACGGGTTGCGGCCTGTTGACAGGAAGCACCGGCGCTCTAAGTTTTAGGGTTAGGGCTTAGGGCTTATAGGGTTTGGGGTTTGTGGTTTAGAAGCCCCGAAACCCCTACCAACCGCTCTAAACCTCGCCTCGCCAGTCTCCCCTTAAGGGTCTTAGAGAGGTACCGGGACCCCCCCAAGCAAAAGTTCGCCCCCCGTTTTCTCAGAAATTATACGAACCGTAAAACTAGGCAACCCCCCGCCCCCACCAATAAGGAGCTCAATAGTCGAGGTCCCCAAGCACACGATTGGTAGGGTCTATTAGGTCGCCAGGCGCGGGGTACCCCGCCTGACGCACATGCCCTCAAGGGCGGCGGTCCTTAGCGCGTCGGGGGCTTGCATCGATAGGGCTTTGGGGAGTTTGGGCCTTCTAGCGACTTTAGGGTTTGTAGGGTTTAGGCCTTGCTAGGCTTAGGGCCTTTAGGGATTAGGGCTTTCAGGGATTGGTCCATCCCTCCTCCTTAAACGGGCAGCGAATACTCAGAAAACAAGTTTGGGGAGGCCTAGAGGGTCAGCCCCGTCCAAAAACTGGAAGTTGCAAGCTCGAGCTTTCATTTTGGTAGGGTTGCAGGATATGCGGAAGCTTAAAGTTGGTTTGCGGATCTGCTCAGTTACCGTATGACGCCTCCCGTGCGGGGGGGGCAACTCAGGCCCCTAGTACCCCAATGTCTGACACGGCTGAAGCAGGCTAAGGTCTGGGGATTGTGGCTTTACAACTCTATGACTCCGCGACTCAAAATTTAGAGTTGAGACTTTCAGTTTCGGCCCCCTAAAACCCCAAACCCCAAACCCCCCTTGAACTGTTCAGCAGAAGTCCTGGCCCCTCCAACCTCTCCATGCGAAGCGCGCCCTAATAGCGCGTTACTTGTTCCTTGGCCAACTTCCATATTTTGGGGCGATACATGCTTTACTAGTCTGGCTTTCCGAGTGTGGGATGGGAGGGGGGCGGGGGAGAAGGGGGTTCCCCTGATAACAGGAGAGTCGGGGGCTGCACAGGTCAAAGTAGAAAGTGTCCAACGTGCGGACTCGCAGGAAGTAAACCCATCACGTGGCGAAGCAGTGGGGGCCGTGGCGTCATCCGGCGATGAGTTTTGGTCCAGGAGTCGACTTTGCAGGCACGGCTCAGTCGAAGGATACTATGCAACATCGACATCAGCAGCCTTGCGCTTCAGCTGCTGGTGAATGTCGTCAGGAACACCATCCCCTATTGGTGGCTCTTCGGGAAGCATGCGGACATCGCGTAGCTGTTCCGAAACCCTACTGCTATCACCGCCAAGTGGACCCAAACCCCAAGTGACCACGCTGCCGTCGGCCTGAAGAGCAGCGAAGGCTGAGCTCGACGCAACAACTTGGCAGACCTCTCTGAGCCTCTCCGGGACTGGATAACGATCTGCCTTCTCGCCCCAGACCACAACAGCTCCGTCAGCCCTCAAAGCTACAAACTCATACAGCGTAGAGTCTATCTCCACAATGTCTCGCAGCTGGTCCTGGACTCGATTGCTGTCCCCACCACGGCTAGCATTCCCCCAGGTCACCACGCGGCCATCTGCACGAATGGCGGCAAAGGACTCGCAGCAAGCCGCTATGTGCTGCACATCATGGAGCTCATCTTGAGCGCTCGAGCTGTCCCCACCCTTCTCAGCGTTGCCCCAAGTCACAACGCGCCCATTGGCCAAGAGCGCTGCAAAGGCGGCATCGGCCCCGTATACTTGCATCACATCCTTTAGACCGTGCACGCCGCTGCAGTCACCTCCACCTTCCGGCTTACCCCACGTCACAACAGACCTGTCGCCTCGGATCGCTGCGAAGGCGAGCGCCGTAGAGCCAATACGCTGGACGTCGTGTAGCTGCTTTGCATGCTTTGGCTCACACTCGCCGCCGTTCTCAGGTCGGCCCCAAGTCACTACGCTGCCATCAGTGCGAATGGCAGCGAAGGCAAAGTTTGTTGCAACGACATCTGCGACGTCGACGAGTCGGCCTTGGACTGCGGAGCTGTCGCCGCCGCACTCAGGCGCACCCCAGGTCACGACCCTCCCATCTCTCCGGATGGCAGCGAAGGCGCTGTTGGCTGCGACGATCTTGCGGACGCCCTGCAGCTGATCTTGCACCGCGGAACAGTCACCAGCTTCACTTTTCCGTCCCCAGGCCACCACATCGCCATCGCCGCAGATGGCGGCAAATGCCGAGCTGTTGCCGACAACCTGCCGCACGTCCTTCAACTGATCTTGGACAGCAGCACTGTTGCCCCCATCACAGCTCTCGCCCCAAGTCACGACAGACCCATCGCCACGGATCACACCCAAAGCAGCCGAGCCTTTGACTAAGCAAGCGCTGCGAACTGTGGCAGTGAGAGTCTCCCCATGCTGCACGCCGGCTGCACTCAAGCACACGTAGCCAAGAAGTGCTGCGCCCTTAGAGGTCACCAAACTCCGAATTCCAACCTTGAAGCGCTCCTCGGCCATCGCCCGGAGCTCCCGGACCTGCATCGCTTCGGTGGCCTCCAAAGTCGTTGAACGGCCGCTGGCCAAGGCAACATGAACTGAGATCGCCATGGCGTCTCGGCGTCTCCGAGCTTCTTAGTAGGATCACAAATGACTGCCCGTGTGCGCCGTCTACCTCCAAACCCGTGAACAGCTATGGGCGCCAAACATCCCTCTGAGCCCTTACAAACCCTGAAGCCGACGCTGTAGACAACGACTTCTGAGAGAGGGCCTCCAGGAAGATGCAGGCGCTTTGCTCCGAGAGATCTTCGGGGGCATTTTGTGTCGATTAGGGCTGTTCCGTACATTTAACGAAATGGCCCCCTGGCATTTGTGCCCATCGACGGCTTGGAGCGGCAGCGCGCCACGTTGTAGCTGAATGCTGCAGAATTCCAGAACGTTCTTCCCAGCTACGAGGCCCCCCCCCCCCCATCTTCCCACTTCTTGGCGCATCCCAATGGTGAGTGAGGCCTTCTTCTCAGAGCCCACAAAGCCGATGGGCTGCCGATACGCTTCAAAACCCTCAACCCACCCTCTGTCCTGAACTCCGGCACCTCAAACCCAGCCAAGGCTCATCCAGTGCATGGACCCGTCTGAAGTCGTCGCGGGCCGAGGCAGGAGAGGGTACTGACCGATGCAATCCTCATCGTCCGTGTTGTCGCCCTGGGTTCAGGGATGCTGAAAGCTACCAACCGGGCCGGGCCGGGGGGGGGAGGGGTAGAAAGCTACGCGCGAGCATTGCGGGAAACACCCTTGCTGCTTGGCTCTACATCCCCAGTAACCTATAGGGTGCGTGTGTGTGTGTGTGTGTGCGCGCGCTGAGTGCTGAGGACGTTCCACCCAGGAGATGTTTACATTGTTCCACGCCCTAGGAGGAGCCACAAAAGAAATTCTGAAGACCCAACCCCTCCCCTCAAAAGGGGAAGAACTGACCTCAAACCATCTCACAGCTATGCTCGGGCGGATTGGCCTGTAGCTCCTCGTGCATGGTCTCGATCTGCCTTCAGAGGGCTCAGACGGTTTGGGTCTTTTGGGGAGGGGGGAGCTGGAGCGGTGGGTTTTTTTCTCAGCCAGGACACAACGCGAGCCACCTGCTTTTAGGTAAGCCCTGCTCAGACGTGACTTGGACCTGTGTGGTGGACGCTCTCCTCAAGAACCTGAGCCTCAACCGTAGGAAGCTTCTGCCCGTTCCTGTTACGTCTTCCAATCAAGATGACGATCATGAGATCATCATTAATGATCTCCTCTCTTTCCCTCGCTAGCACTGAAACCCCAGACCCTCCACGCGCTTCAAAAGAGCAGGGGGTGACTAAGGCAACAAGGACCAAGGGTTGTAGGGGGATGTCTGAGGATCATCGATGATGTCGCCGAGGCGCCTTTGCTGCTGGTACCTTGGCCGGAACGACTTTCCCCTACAAGGAGCTCTTCAGGGCCCCAACTCTGCACGAAAAAGGGTGGAGGGTAGCAGGGGGGGGGGGGGGGGGCAAGGCGGGGAAGGTTCATGTTGGACATGTCGCGTTCTGGGCTCTAGGCCCAACTCCTGTCCTTTAACTTTCCGATTTTCATCCCTCAATAGACTGCATCCTATGAAATCCTATATATATATATATCCTTTGTGTTCTGTTCTGGTGTACTGCTTCTGCTCTATTGGATCATAATATAGTACATAAGAGTATATAGCACTACTGTACTAAAAGGGCTTGATGCCATACTAAGTTACCTTTTAGATTTCGAATATTAGAACTATTCTATACCACGCTGTTTCTTTACTAGTATTCACTATTTCGTATCATGTCGCTCAGTACGCAACATGAAGCATCAGCAGACATAATATACCTCGCTAGCATGACATGACATGACATAACATAGCGCAGCATACCGTAACATGACATACTACAACGTAACAAAACACAACATTACATGGCATAGCATAACACAAAATGAACAACGTAACACAGCATAGCATGGCTAAACGTACAGCAACCCGACATAACATGCTGCAATTAAAACATGATGTATCCATCCTTAGCCCTGGCGAAACGGGACCTGCAGGCCCCCTCAGCCTGCAGGGCTTCCGATTGAGGAGCTCAACTGCTTGCCGCAGGAGGGGCTGCTGGAGGAACTTCTGCTGCTCCATCTGCTGGTGGGCCAGCAACCTCGCACTCGCGCGAGTTTGGGGTTTAGGGCTTAAGGTCTTGGGTTAGAATGATTTTGGGGATTTGGGGAGGGGGGCCTCTGTCACACGAATGGGCAAGCGCATTGCGCCCTGCGGCACCCATGAGCTCGGGGTCAATGCTGGGATCCAACAGTAAAAGCCCCTAGCCCTAAAAGCTTGAAACTCCCAACCTGCAAAACAAAATGCTCGCACTGTCCTAAGCCCCCGTAACCACATCAGTCCTAGATTCCCTAAATAAACCAGCTTAGACCTCTCCCTCTTCGGGAGGACCTCAGTGGTGAGGGGGGGGATCACCAAGCTTAGAGTTTAGGGGGTCCCTCGCCGAGCCACTGCTGCTGCTCCGCCTGGTGCTTGCCATTCATCTGCTGCAGCTGCCTCAGGGTTTCGGGGCTTCAGGGTTTAGGGTTCAGGGTTTAGGGTTTCGGGGCGCTTGGGGGCTTTCTGCGCGCCGGAGGGCTTCAAAGACGACCTCGAAACCCTGAACCCTGAACCCCCAAAAACTGTGTCACAAGGTCGAGGGGGGGTGCGCTTAAACCTCAAGCCCCTGCTTCCTAAACCCCGAGCCCTCCAAAGGGCTCAAAGCAAAAGCCGGGGATCGGACAATCGGTTCCTACCCCCGCAGCCCCCAAAAGCCTCATCGGGGGTTGGGGTTCCCTCAGCCCGAAAAGCTAGCGGTACACGCAAGCCCCCCTTCCCGCCTCCGACCCTTCACCTCCTCCATTCCCCCGAGAAAAGCAAAAACACGAAGAATATGGGTTAAATAACTAGCATTCACCGTATATGAGTTTTCGGACAACAAGTACTGCTCATGACAACTTTGATTAACGACGAGCCTGAACGCCCAGCCCAAACGCCCTGAAACCCCCAAGGCCCCCTCTTCTCCTCAAGCCTTAAACACCTCTAAGCCCCTAATTCAACCCCCGACCTTAGAACTAAAATCCGCTAAGGAACGTACCAAAGGTTACCACAAGTCACACCTCTGTCTCTTCCCTTACGGCCACAGTACATGTCTAGTAAAATGATACTGGTTCACTTGCCATCGTAAACTTGAGGCACGTTCCCTAGCAGCGACCCAGCTTAGGGGTGTCCAAGCGGCTGCTCCATTGAGATGGACACATTCGCCATCTGTGCCCGGCCAGCCTTGACGAAGGGGCGTAGGCTTCTGTAGAGCTTTCGCTACTGCTGCAGAAGAAGGGATGTAGGGCGCAAGCCTCTCCGGTCTTCTAGGTTTTCGGTCTTAGGGGTTTGAGCGTGGTTGAGATCGGGTTCGGGGATTAGGGGTCGACGAGCTGGAGTCGCAGGGGATGAAGGTTTCTGGGGTTCAAGGCTTTGGGGTTTTAGGAGTGTTTTGGGTCCAAAGAAGTAAGAACCGAAGTCCACGCACAGATTTTAGTTTATGGGCTTTTTTTGTGTGTCCTCAGACTGAAACCAAAAAGGAAACCTAAACCCTCAACCCAAGTTCATCCCTTCATCCCTTCATCCCTATAAACCCTGAACCCCGAAGAGCACTCTCCGGGCCGCCCCGCGGACTTTAAAGAATTCTGGCTCGGGATCACCCTCGGCATCCGTGGCAGCTTTGGAGCTGGGGATCTGGGGGCACAGCTTTCAGGCTGGGGTTGCTTCATGTCTTGATTGTGTTTGGTTGGCTTCCATGTGTGTGTGGGGTCTACCATGCGCTCTACACCCCGTGAACAGAGGGCTTCCGAAACCGAATCGCCGAACCCCTCAGCGGCCGCACAACTCCCAAGAGTCAGGGTTTAGGGCCTAGGGTTTAAGGATTTATGGGTTTTAATGCCACCCGCCCCACGGGGGGTCTCAGGAGATCGACAACCACCGAATCATCATCGTCGTCGCCAGCGTCGTTGTCATCATCTCTCTCTTATTATTATTCTTATTATTTTTCTTATTATTCTTCTTATGTTTTTGAAGGTTTTTTCTTTTTTGCATTTCTTCTTTAATCTTATTTCTTCCTCTTGCTTACTATCCTTCGCATTATTCTTCTTCTTCGCCGCTATATTTCCATCAGCATAGGCATCATTCCCATCCTCATCCTCGTCAATAATCGTGGTCGTCATCGTCATTCATCCTCATTCATCCTAATTCATCGCAACTCATCGTCACTCATCCTCACTCATGCTCATTCATCATCGCCGTCATCGTCGTCGTCGTCGTCGTCATCGTCGTCATCGTCGTCATCGTCATCGTCAGCAGCGGCGTCAGCATCGTCATTGTCGGCATCACCATCTTCATCATCATCATCATCATCATCATCATCATCATCATCGCTGCTAGCCTCGTAAGTGAAACCATCCCTTGCGAATAGCCCCACCTCAGACTCCTGCAAGTTTACAGGCAGCACGCCAGCTTCACCCCACCGTACTTCCCAGAACGCACATTCCACAACCACAGAAGGATGTTCAAGATGCCTTTATGCGTCTCAGAACCTGTTTGGTCAGTCCCAGGAAGCTCCGAAAAATCTCCTAGTTGCAACGTGTGCCCTCTTAGCTCAGCAACGTACACTGGAGAAGCTTCATGTGCAGTGTCATTTCCTCTTTCTTGACTTAAACAGTTTACATGTTCTTCAGCTTGTTTGTCACCGGAATTGCCAGTGAGTTTGCCGTGGCATGTCTTGTTTCCTTGCTTCGGCACATCACAGTCTCCATCTTAGCATAAACCGTTGTTACAAACTGATACTGACTGACAAGCTGCAGAACTGGAAATGCCACTGGCATTATCCTGGGGGATTTAGGGCTGGGAAGAAAAGTGCCAAAGGCTTTTCGTGAGCAGCTGCTCTCTCAGCATACAAGACTTCGCCCTCTACCCCGAATTCAAATGTTGTGAAAACCCTGAACTCCCTAAGGCTATAAGCCCAGAACTTCTGAACACCGAGGGTGGGACAGGTACTGCCCGTTGGTGTGCGGTGGCTCAGAGAACTGGCAGCGAGATGATCCCATCGAAGTCTTTGGGTTCTGGTCTTTAGGGTTCTCGGAGCTGCTGCTGCCAATGTGGGCTACCTGCTGGTAGGTGTTAAGGCTCAACGTTCACCCTTCTCCTCTACTCTACTACGACGCCAGAGTACCTCGCCAAGGAAAACTGCAGTATAAGAAGTTTCGGGATTTGGTAACGCAGTAAATGTGACTCCCACGACTCTTGCGCGACGCCTATGGGATCGGCAATCGCTTCTTGCGCAAGCTTTTCTTACCTCCTCATAACTGCTTAACCAGGCTGCTACTTCCCTTGATGCTTCCTTGGCCGCGCCAAACATTTTTAGATGGGTTCGGGTTTCATGCTTGAGGCTTCTCGAGAAGGTCCTTAAGGGTTTGGTGCTGCTTCATCTTGGCGAAGATCCCATCCCAATCAGCAGTTTCATGGTCCTATGGGTCCCCCTAACGAAAAAACCCAAGAACCTAAATATGGTTCGCATGGCTTAGGGAAAGATTTGCACTTGGTTGGTTTAGGGTTCGGGGTTGCTGACATCCACACCATGAACCCTGAATGCACGACAGCACGTGCCTGGCGCACGTCGTGGCCTGGGGTTCGAGGGAGGGTTTCGGGGTGCTTCGGGTTTAGGGCGTCGCTGCACTATACATACCCCCCTATACCTCCTAAACCTGCAACCCTCAGGGCGAGGTGCCCTCCATGTGGTAGTTGCCCAGCTCGTCGTCGGAGTCCTCGAAGCCCTGTAGGGTTCGAGAGTCATGGAGAGGTGGGGGGAGGGGGAGATTTAGGCAACCCAATATACCACACAAACCCGACAACCCTGTAGACCCGATGAACCCATAAACCCCGTAACCACAATCAGGTTTAGGGTTTAGGGTTTAGGGTTTAGGGTTTAGGGTTTAGGGGTTAGGGGCTTAGGGTTTAGGGTTTAAGGTTTAGGGTTTAGGGTAAAAATCCTATGTACATGTATGTATGCGTGCATGTATGTATGTATGTATATAGTAAACCCTACAAAACCCTGAAGACCAAGCTACGATCAGCCCAGAAGCGTCTTGCACGCACATCGAAGAGGGTTTACGTTCTACGGTCCAGGGTCCCCCCGTAAACACTGTTTTCAAAGAAACCTCAAATCTTGTTCAAATCCGTTCGCGCATGGTCAGATCTCGAGCTGTGTCCGTTTAATATTTGGGGCACCCCCAACATGAGGTCCCGCATAAGAGAGATAACAGCAATAACAACAATGACAGCAATAAACAACTAACGATAGAAAGCAACAAGTATGGGGAAACTACTGCATGAGGCGTCCCATCCTCCATGGAGCGTGGGCGCGGAGGTTCCGACGATTCACGGCCTCGGCTGCTGTTCGATGCGCGTGTTTTGGGTTTGGGTTTTTCTTTATACGCTGGACACACTGGGGGTTTAGGGGGTTTTGGGCTAGGGTTTAGGGTTGAGGGTTATAGGGTTTAGGTCCCTGGCCCACTACATTCCCTGAGGGATTCTTTAAAGGGTCTGTTCGAGAGCCCCCGAGCCCAACGGTACAGGTCCATGGGTACTTGCAATACGATTTAGGGCTTAGGGTAATACGTAGGGTTCTCAGCAAGGTCAGCTGTGCGAGAGCCCTAATTGGGGGACGAAAACCTCAGCTGTAACTACCCTTGAACCTTCAAGTACATCCTTCGTTTGTTGTCGAAACTAGAGCTCTTAACGATCCCAATCAACATTCGAGGTGCTCCTGCTCGGCAACATCGTCAAAACGGCCGAAACCCCTAAACCGCCCTGTTATTTAACCCCTCAGCCCCTGAAACCCTCCAAAGAGTCTGCTTGGCACAACCCTAGCCCTAAACCCGAAACCCCAAAGCTTAAACCCTCGATGCCCGCGAGGCCCTCAACCCGACGCGCTGAGTGGGCGGCGGCGGGCCATGGCGGCCTGCTGCTCCTGATTAAGACTCGGGTTTAGGGTTTAGGGTTCAGGGTTTAGGGTTTTGGGATAAGGGTTTAGGGTTTGGGGCTTCCTAAACCGAACACCACTAGGCTTATGGCTTTCGGGTACCCTGAAGCCTGATCTGAACCTAGACTCGGACATTGGCCACGGCCACCCCGGAAAGCAAAACTCGGAATCAGGAACACTCCACACCCCCCCTTGATAAACAAAACCTGGAGTCAGGAACGCTCTCCTTCATGATGCGCTCCATGCACTCACTCACTCACCCAACAAACGCGCCAACACATCACGCACCCATAGTCATCTTGCTCACTCACATCCCTCATTGACATCAGACGACAGCCCCTGACTCACTTATCTCCGCCTCTCGCTTGCTCGCAAAGCAAAAACAAAAACGAACACCTGCATAGCCTATCATACACTTACGAACTCCCCTTCGCTACTTCATGCACGTAATATCACAACACCGATTCACATCATGTAGAGTTTTGACTTGACTCACTCATCCACCCAAGCACCTTAGATCTGCTGGCATTGCCGAACTTACGCATTCCAGCATGTTGCTGGTGTCCATTCTTCATCTAACTCCGTGAGTCGAACCTGGTTTCAGCCACAGGGTGGCTCTGCGCCCCGAGCATGCTTTCTGAATCTCAAGAGTTACCTGTTTCCGGCTTGAGTAAAAAGTTGGGGAGGCTCCGTGGAGGAAAGTGCCTGAGACCCGAAACTCCAGGCCCGAAATCTCAACCCTAAACTCTTCACAAATGAGGAGGCCTCCGCGTGAAGGAACGTGTTTTTCACCTTGGGCCACGCAGTGGCAACCAAGGGGTGACGGGGTTCCTTCAGGTCTAGGCTTTAGGGACTTTAGGGTACCCGCGCCCTATATTATAACTCTACTCCGTCCACGACATGCGGCCCAGGTGTGTACGCGCAGCCCAGACTTTAGGACCTACGAGCACCCCTACCTTCATCCCAACAGAAGGCCCAAAAGGCGTCTTCTTCAAGGGCCCTTTTTGTTGTGGGCTTTTTTTGAATTTGGGACTCCAGGGCTTCAGGGCTCAGGAGGGCTCAGGGCCTAATAACCCGGAAGAAATCCATGAAACGCCCAGCTTGGGGCTCGGGGAAGGCTTGGAGTCTGGGCGGGTTTGGGCCTTGGGACCCAAGGCTTGGGGGTTTCGTGGTTTCGTAGGGCCTTCAGGCTTAAGGGCCTTCAAGGGGAGTCTTGAAGCCAGGGGCTGTGGTGACGCAACCGCCGGCGGGTGGTGCTTGATCCACATGCTGCTGCCACTGATTCCACTCCTCGCAAGGGCGCATGTGCTTATGGGTTGAGGGAACTTCGTGGGGTCGGACACTTCAAAACCCCAGATATCTTCACCTTTTGAGGCGTGGGATGTTGAATGCCTTCGCGACGATGTTCGCAGGAGGTTGCTATGGGCCCAAATGCTTGTGCGGCCTCAGGGTCGAGGGTAGGCTTTAATCCCAGACCATGGTCTAACAAATTGTTCAAGTTCAAGAACCCGAAGCCCTAAACTCGGCCCTAAAACCCTAAACCCTCAACCCCCAAACCCGATTCTCCAAAACGGCTGCGTCATGTTGAGTCAAACTGATAGCGCAACCCCAAACCCTGAAGGCTTCGGTGGATCGAGGCAGCGTCCTGGTTCCCCACTATCATGTTCGGGACGTTCGGCACATTCTGGCAGTTCACTGGCCTGAGCTGCGCCAACCAGAAGCTCAGCAGCCCTGTAAACCCCAACCCCCAAGCCCCAATCCCCTCAAACCCTAAACCCACGGCCCTAAACCCTCATAAAACCCGAACTGGGGTGAGGATTATCAGGGTCATATGGGTCAGAGCGGTGATAAAGATTATCAGGATTTAGGGCAGCCCCGGAAGTCATCTTCTTAGGACATGGGCAGGTCTCGACATTGCGATCCCTTTTTGGGCACCTGAAATAATGGGCCTGTATCATGTTGCAACCCATAATATGAACATAGCACATTCTGAAGCATTTAGGGCTTCAGGGTTTAGGCCTTGGGTCCAAGGTTTCTCAAGTGTCGGATGTCAGTGCTCAATAGACATCTGCAAACTTCATCAAAATTGGGATGCGCTCATCACAAGGTGCTTCGGGGCTTTAGGGAGGATTTGGGATCGGTTTGCAGCCAGGATCCCCCCCAAACCTTCTTCTGGGGGCCCGGCACACACATTTGCATACCTTGGCGCGGCTCCATCTCCCCCCCAAGAACCCTAAGCAGGCTTAAAAACCCTGAACCCTGAAACTCTGAAAAAGCCGCAATGAAGAACCTGATGGCATTGCCATTGATGCCGATGCGGCATGAATATTCACTAAGAGGTCCTGCAAAACACCCAAAGCAGCAAACTTGGCCCTGGGTGATGTGGGGTTAAGGGTTTAGAAGTCTTCTTCAGGAAATGGGTAGGATGCTGTCTGCTCTGGCAGTCTTAAGTCTGAGGGACTTCGCGGCGACCCCCCGGAGCCCACACCTTGCAATTACTGCGGGGCATAATCAGCCACCCCCTCTCTCAAAAAAACCGACGGCGTAGGGCTTGGGCTTTAGGAAAGGTAGGTCATGGGGAAAGCCGGGCAAGCCCTGGCGTGGCCGAGGATTTTGGGGGATTTTCGGGATCTTCGGTCGGCCCCGCTGCTCGGCATCGCTTGCATCGCAGTCGGCATACCGATCAGTTGGACCTGGGCAGCGAATCTCTGAACCGATTTTGGTATCTTGGGGGGGGGGGGGGGTTTCCGCGTGTTCTGAAGCTCACGGATCAAGAGCGGATGGTGCGAGGAGCGAATCACTGCTGCAGGCCTCGAGCCTCCCAAGGTAACTCCTTCATCCAGCAGACACATGCCAAGCTCCTCCAAAAAAACAACGAAACCCCAAAACCTCACCCCTTTTCGCAAAACAAAAGAACATTCGCAAACAAAAGGCCCTAAACCCTAAACCCTAAAAGCCCTACACCCCTAAGCCCCTGAACCCTCAAACAGAAAGAATGCTCTCGCGCCCGCTCCGCTTCTTTTGGGGCTCCCGGCCGCTCCCTGGACTGGTGTGAGGATGGTCTGTGGGCAAGGTCCGGCCTGCGCCAGGGATGGGGTAGGAGGGTTGAGGGGTTAAGGGTTCGGGGTTTAGGGTTGGGGTTTTGGGGTTTGGGGCTTTGGGGCTTTGGGGCTTTGGGGCTTTGGGGCTTTGGGGCTTTGGGGCTTTGGGGCTTTGGGGCTTTGGGGCTTTGGGGCTTTGGGGCTTTGGGGCTTTGGGGCTTTGGGGGTTTGGGGGTTTGGGGGTTTGGGGGTTTAGGGGTTTAGGGGTTTAGGGGTTTAGACTAGAGGGTTTAGAGGGGGTTAGGGGGGGTTAGGGGGTGCTAGGACGGCTTAGGGTTTCGCAAGTTCGGGATCCTACGCTGTAGGACCCCGGCACCCTAAACCCTTTGAGCCCTACAGCCTTACAAAACCCTTCTAAATCTTAGGAAGCCCTTTCAGCTTCTTGAGCCCCTAAATTCCCCTCAAACCCTGGGAGAAATACCTGGGAATCCGCGGCCGCCAGGCTTATGCTGTTTGATGGGCTTACGGGGTTTAAGGGGCTTTTGGGATGTGGGCCTTGTTCGGTACCATGGGGTTCTGGGGTTGTCGGCTTTTGCGGCTTGGGGGGGGGGGGGGCTTATTGGGGTTAAGGCTTTATAGGGCTTCAGGATTCTAGAAGGGTTCCTGCCATACCATTTTCCGAAACTCGGTTGCCGTCCATCGCGATTGGTAGTGTTGTTTCAATGCTGAGATGAGTATTCTTGTCTCTATATCCTCCTCCATGAAGCTCTCAGGGGACTTCACTTCTAGACACGGCCATGGCCCGACATTGGGCTGACGAGGATGGCAGGAAGCTTCCAAGACCCAAGCCCCCCTTCCACCCTTATTCGTAGGGCTTAGCTTAAGGCGCGACAGGGCTTGAGCGTGGAAGAGCTGAAGGGTTTAAGTGGGCTTCTTAAGGCCTTGCAGGACTGAGAGCTTAGGCGTTGAAGCGCTTCGTCGGGTATATGAGAAGCTTATGGTGGTGAACATTCCTTCTAGGAGCGTGTAGGGCTTTAAGGCCCTTGCTTGGGGCTGAAAATTAAAGGGCTTTCGTGATTCTTGGTGTCTTAGCGGTTTGGCGGGTATCAAGCTTGCATGTCCCAAGGCCTGCATCATGCCCGGAAAGCCTGGGCATCCGAAACTGGGTTTAGGGAGTCGGCGGCTTTCTCTACAATGTACACTCTTGAAAGACAACCCACCCACCCTCCCGGAAAAGAAAACACATAAAATAAATCAACAGCAACAATGAAAGAGAAATGCTGTCATACTGTAGGCAATCTCAAGCGTTCCAAACTCGTAAGCCCACCCAAAAAGCCGAGGGGGTTCTCTTGAGTGGTCCTAGACCCTTCCACAAGCCGAAGGACAAAGCCTCACCTTGGACGTTCACAGATGCTTTGGCGCAGTGATACAAGCAAGTCAACAGTGTGCTAGATTTGGGTACTAAGCTCGGAGGCTGGCACAAACCGAAGCTGCCGCCCAAGGTCTTGGGGTTAGGGTTTAGGGTTTAAGGCCCATGGTTTTGTAGGATGTTCTTGCAAAAGAGACCTCCTATTGAACTCTCTGAGTTCCGAACTGAGAGCCTTCTGGGAATCCGCGAAGCTCTAACACAGTGGCTTCGAGGGTTCATAGGGGCTCCTTGAACCCGAATCCCAAAACCTAACACCCTAACCCCTACGAATCTAACCCCTGGAACCCAAAACCAAGGTTTGGGATGCTAGAGTCCATAGTCACCTGTCATCTGGCTGCTCGCTGGAACTGGGTAGTGGACCAGTCGGCTGACTTTGTTGTGCCTGCTGCAAGTTGCTCTGCTGCCACTGCCTCAGCTCTAAGGAGGTGTGGGACACATGGGTTTAAGACTGAGGGCGTTGGAAGCTTAGGGTGCAGAGTCGAAGGCTTGATGCTAGGCTTTCAAGGCTCATATGCCCAAAACCCTGAGCAGAGACCCTAAGCCCTACCCCCCCAAGCCTGAGATGGAGGACCGAACTCAGAACGTTGAAAACTGGAGGCTCGGAGAACTCTCGGGTTCTCAAAGAGCAGGCTACTTGAAGTGTATACCTGTGTGTGGATTTGTACCTGTATGTATTCCGTATGTACATATACTCATATCCATATTTGCTTTTTTCTATTGCATGTGTGTTCATATTTGTATGCCCCCACCCCCCCCCCCCCCCCCTCCCCCCCCTCCCCGCCCCCCCCCCCCCCCCCCCCCCCCCCCCCCCCCCCCACCCAAGCTCCCGTTTAGGTTCTAAGCCCTTGGGCCCCTTGAGGCCCTAAACCCTGCGACCGAGTGGCGAGTTCTGGGATCCAAGTTGCAAGTTGCTCAGGAGCATTCCTTCAAGGAGCCATGAGGTTCCCTTCGGGTCTTCCAGGCTTGGTGATGGCTTTTGTTGTACATCTGGGAGAGGTTAACACCCAAACAGGGCCCCCTTTTGCGGACGAGGGCCTTCTCTATAAGAAGTCCTTGTGGTGGCATTCTTGAAAGGGACCCTCAATGATAACTCCTCCAGCCCTGCCCATGAGTTCACCCCGAGCTCGGAGGCTTTAACCCAAAGCTCTGAGCAAACAACGCTCAGAACCCTAATATTGGGGTCATGTACCGGAAACTACTATTGTTCCTACTACGGTATATGGGCCCTAAACCCTAAGCCCTAAGCCCTAAACCCTGAGTTTTTGGGTTCGGGCACCTCGGGCTTCAACATATTGGAACTGCTGGCGAGGTCTGAGGGCACAGGACTTGGGCTCATTACTTTGGGGGCTTGCCCTGGGCACCCTTGGCTCGAGGATGTTTTTGAAAGTTCCGGGGTTAGGGCTTAGGGGTTTTAAAGGTTCTCGGATACCTTCTGTGGCAGATCCGACACTCACGTACCCTCATCTCGCGGTAGGTTCCTTAGATTGTGCGCCAACTCTGGGGAGATACCTAGCATCGTACGAGGCCCTTTTATGGGGTTACCTCGAACGTCACGCAGAGAAGCCCCGCGCTGGCCTTGTCCCTGCATGTTCTGCATACCGTCGCTGACACTGCAATGAGGTGCCTCGCTGGTTCTGCAGGATCCCGAAAAGAGCCTTAAAACCCCAAAAGCCCCCAAAACAAAAAGGACACCCTCTGGACAATCTTTACTGACAGCCCTTGAAACATCCCTAAATCAGAAAGACCTGTAAAACGCTGAGAAAACTAAGCCCCTGAGCTGATGTAAGCGGCTTTCAATCTCCCATGCTGCGGAATGCTGAGCCGGGCGTTCTCGAATTTTGGGAGCCACCCTCACACGGCCCCCAAACACCATCAGCCCTACGACGCTATGGCTTCTCACGCTTGGTGGCCTTCTGCGGTTGGGTTCTTCCTCTCCAGGAGAACTACCAAGAACAAGAACCCTCTAGCTAAGATCCTGCCATCCAAGATGTGCAGCAGGCTACTTCAAGCGATGGATCATGATGTCTTTTGTTGGCTCGTTAAAGACTCAATCGGCCGTGGTAGCACATCAGAATGCAATGGAAAGCAGCAAGCAGCGCTTCTATTCACACCCTAAACCCTA